AGGGCAAAAAAATCCTACAGTGTATGCCCGGCTTTAGGCATGTTAAAACTCTCCACGTCCGGGAAAGTTCAACTTCAGAGGCATTAATCCAGTCCTCTATGTTTACAGGCTCTGCTGAAAATGAAGCGGGAGCTGCGTTCTCGGATGGAGCGGGAAATTAGGGACCTACAGAGAATCATCATCCAGAACGATGAGGACGACTACTTCCAGGATCTAGAGGTCCAGAGGCTGCGGAGCCGAGTCAACATGGCTTCCTTCCAGTACAACACCAGCTATCTACACTGACCAGGAAAACCAGACCAGTGCAGGTCCAAATCTGGGATTATATCTACATCCACGGAAAGACTTGCAGCAGATTACTGTAATTCAGAACCAACGGTACAAGAATCTAACGCACAAACCTTCTCAGGCCTCTTTTTTTTTTAGATTTGCACAGAAGAGAACGTGACGAGTGTGAGAACGCAATCTTAAGTTTTATTAATGAATTTCACACACTGACAAAATGTAGCTTTAGCTCATGTAGCTAACTCTTCCTCCCTTCTGCTGCTACTCCTGAACTTCAGACATCTTGGACCAAGTCCTCCTCCATGTCCTCCTCCTCCTCGGTTCAACGTGTTGAATAAGAATGTTTTATTTTCCTGACTGCAGTCATTTGTGCTTTTATTGTGAAACAGTGAAATGTTCCCTTTGTTGCCAAATAAGGACCGCAGAGAGAAAGTTGTCACACTGACGAGTTTTAACTTTATCTTCCTTTTACACAAGATGTCTTCCTTTTTAATACGTAAACCATGAGGGGATTATTTATTTAACTTTAATGTTTGATTTTAAATTAACCTGGATTGATCTCTGGTCACCAGGGGCAACGGTAATCAGTCTGTTTATGAATTCACTTTAACCTCTGCTTGATTGTTACTCTATTTTTAACCAAATCATGAAACCTAAAAGGACCCATTGATTCTGCCACTTAATTCTGCACATTGTTTTTTGTGGATATGAAGCAAAAACAAACATCAACATCTATTAAATGTGTGGAATCACTGGTTTAAATGCATTAAATTTATTTGCATAAGATGTACATTTTACTTTGTTTTAAGGCTTATAGGATAAAAACATTTCAGTCAAAAGTTCGAGGAGGAAACCCAAACGGGGGACGGCACTGGGACACACTTTACTGTAAGTCAGACGAGGTCAACTGTTAATTCCAGAACCCAACAGAATCAATATGGAGTATATTTCCTCATTTACATAAAACCTGAACATTTACTAAATTCATTACATAATTTCATATTCTTTATTTCAAACTTTCCTGTGCAACAGTTAATTATGGGTCATAGCTACAACATTTTCATCAAAATTATAAAAAAATAAAAAAATGTATTTTATTTAAAACCAAAAAAATTTTCAATGGCGAAGAATAAAGTATTTATTTTACCAAAAGGGGAAATAGAGCAGATAACTGTTTTATACAATTTGATTGATCCACGGTGTATTTAAATATTTACTTCTGGTTACCATTCCAACTTTTGTACTAATAGGAATAGTAGGTTGAACTTTTAAGTGTTAATTAGTCAAATTCAAGGCAAAAGAAGCAAAACGAGGGAGAACACCGGCAGAGGTTTGGATCTTGATGCTAACGTAAGGAAGCAAAGGGCAGAGGAGCCACTTTCCTTCTGGATAAGTTCAATATTTGCTAATGCTAACCATTAGCAGACCAGACACCTAATTGGTCAAATGTTAGCTATGCAGCATATACAATATGAAAGCACCTCAACTAAAATCTATTTTATTTAATGTCTTCACATTTACTTGAAATTTAATAGCAGAAATTGAAAAATTATTATTCCTGCATTTATTTTATATAAATAATGAAATACATAAAAGTTTCTATAAATGCGGCCTTAAAATCTGCGTTTAATAAAATGGTAAAGAATTTCTGTTTCCATTGGTGACCTAATGGTTAAAGCATTGCGTTTGGCTGCTGGAGGTTCTGAGTTCAAGCCCCACAGACCGCCACTCTGGCTCCCTTAACCCCACAATGCTCACCACAGAGATAGGTTAAATGCAGAGGAGAATTTCTCCAGAGTGAAATTAATGTAGTTCAATTATTATTAGCATGAACCAAGCTTACTAATTAAAAAAATCCTGTACGAGCAGTGACACAGACGTCCATAAACACAAATCTCTTCAATCTACTGAACGTGAGATAGACTCGACAGTCTGAGCCCAGAGCCGTTTGTAGGCGTCTGTCATCCAGCAGGTTGGTCCAATCAAATTTGTTCTCACAGAAGCAATGTTTATGGTAAAGAACAATCTCATTTCATGACCTTACACTGACTTTCACAAAGTCTCACCAGGAAGACCCAGGAGGTCGATGATGCTGGCTTCTTCGACATTAGTAAATGCTGCAGTAGGTCAGTGGAAGCTTTCAGTCTGGATCCTTGCAGCTATAGCAGATTGTGTCCATCAGCTACCCTCAGCTGAATTCTTCTGTTGTGCATTAAGTTTTTGTTTTAACAAATTGTTGACATTACTCCAAATAATTAACATCAAACTCTCAAATTCATTTTCTGCCTCTACATGATGCAGCTTTCACCCCTTAAAATGAGAAAATTAAATTAAACTTTTTTTTTTTTTTTTTTACAAGAAATGCACATTTTTTTAAAGGTTAGTTGCATCGATTTGGTGGAAATAATCCCTCATAAATTAAAAATTATGTGATAAATGGGATTTCACACCTTTAAAGTTTCAAAGGTCTGGTGTGGAAAAACAAGGCAAATCTAGGTGTTTCTACATTTCTGCAGTGCAACTCTGTAGATCCTGGGTTCAGATGTTGCCTTTCTGCACTGAGTTTGCATGATATCCTTCTGTATGTGTGGAACCTCTCTGGAAACTTTTCCTCAAACCAAAAACATGACTGCCAGGAAAAGTGGTCCCTAAAAACAAGTCTAATAAACACAAACCACTAGCCAAGATTGATACTGCCAGCTTTCTAAGCTCTATCATGATAACTTAATAAAATACATCCTTTCTAATATTTGCCCTGATAACTAACACATACTGCACATTTTCTGTTAGTCCAATGAACTTCAATTCAATACTGAAATATTACTGTGTCCATCAGTTATTAGATATATCAAACTGAAATAGCTGTTGCAAACACCCAAATATTTAGATATAAGATTAATAGGGGTGCCCAAACCTTTTCATGACTGTATAGTTGTTATGCATGTTTTCAACTCAGTAGGCCTACTTCGTGTTGACTGAACAATGCATAGAAGCTTTTATGAAACTGAAAACTCAGTTTCCCACCTTAAACTCAATGAATTGAGAGTTGAGGATTTGAGTTTGTTAAACCTGCTTATTGAAATGGACTCCTCTTTACAAATAGTATGATATAAACAATGTGTTGTTAAATATCAAAAAGCTGTACTACTTCATAATGGTAAAAAAAAGGTTTCGGAGATGATTTTTTTTTTCTTTTTTATCTTAGGGAAATCATTAATAACCTGACTCCGCCAGATGGATTTGCTCCGCATATCCATCTGGCAACCTTCATTTGAAGTAATTTTGGGAAGGGGCGAAAATACTGGTTAGCTGATTGGCCTATGTTGGTGATAGACAGGCCAAATAAACCAATCAGATCAACGAAGCATATGACGTAACAGAGCGACGACGAAGAGGAGCCAATTGATAGATCAAACTCTTGCCGAAACCAGTCGGGAGAAGAGCAAAAACATCTTTTCCTCTGAGAAAAGCCTCCAGAGCAGTGTTTTGCTCTTCTTTCAGTGAAGAAATACTCTGTAATTCCGATAAAACTTGCTCGATAGCCACGCTAACGCTAGTTTCATCGGCTGAAGCCGCCATGTTCTTTAGACTGAAATGTCGCGCTTCTCGTTGCGTCACACCTCAACCCGCCTCAAAGCCAACGCTGATTGGACGTTCGTTTGGTGAACGGCTCCAAGCCGTGTCTCCAGACTGATTAGCGAGTGAAATCTTGAAAGCTCGCGAGATCAGGATGGTCTCACGAGGCTACATCATTAACACTGCAGATGTTTAACTCCACAAAAGATTACTCAGCAACATTTTAAAAATAACTTACGTTACCAAGTGGAAAGCTTAAATTTAATTTTCTAATATTTTTCAGATTTAAAACACATTAAGAAATAATCAGTGTCTTAGTTTCACCACCCCCAAAAAAAAGACAATAAAGCATGTTGTTCTATAAAAGATACTGCTGTTGGGTTCAAACAGCATACTTTTTTTATTGCTCAGTGTTCTGCAAGGGTATAAGAAGTTTCTTACTTTGCGTCTTTATTGTCCTTATGTACAAGTGTAAGTTACAAACTCACAGAGCAGCTAAAGTGGAAACTATGAACAAATGTATACTGTTGAAATAAATATAAAAATCAAAGGAAATATGCCATAAAAATGTTTTAGAAAAAAAACAAAACAAAACAAAAAAAAACAGGGTTTTGCTTCTTTTTACTGAATTGAATCCCCAAAAAATCTCAGACGTAGACACAAAAATTTAAACATACATTTCGGAAAACCGTTTGAGCTCTACTGGGCCCAGACAAACATGCATGTAGAAAATGTGGCATCCATGTTTAAATGTTCCAAACAAGGGGGAGGAGCGTGTATTCAACATTTTGACTTGCAACAGGTTAAAGATTGCTACATACCTTTTTAAACCAATGCTTTTTTTTTTTGATGGTGTCAAATCTAGAGAATGTACAAGTTTGTTGCTTTCAAAAAAGTGAATGCTGCAAAGTTCTGCACTGATTGGAGGGGTAGTGACAAATATGTGTTAACATGATTAAAATCATTAAACAAAAAAACAGTCCAATAACTGTACGGTTAATAGAAAAGTTTTAGATGCATAATTTGTTGAATTCCCGCAAACTTCGCAAGGACTGCATACGTTCCGTACTCGTGTTCCTCCTGCCTGATATAAACGTGATATGAATCGGGTTCATGGCTGCAATTAAATGTATACAAATGAATTTGATATTTTTTTCCTTGACAAAAAATATATATATAAAAAAACAACAAAAAAAAACTATTAAAAAATAAACTCAAACATCCATCCATACTTCCTCCGTTCATAAAGGAGCGTCTCACTGTTTGGCTTTCAGAGAGCTGATGATGGTTTCACCCATAAGATCCTGATTAGTTAAAAGCATTGCATCCTTAACTTCCATTTGATGCATAATAATAATAAAAAACATTTCAGCGGTGGAATTCAAATTTTCAGTTTTGAAACGGACCTACATATTCCTATTTGCATGATGGCCGCCTACAGGGAGAAAAGCTTTCTGAATTTTAGATTCTTCACATATTAGCCAAATTTATTTATTTTTTTGTAAAAAAAATAAAATAAAATAAGAAAAAAAACTTCTAACTTCACCTGAGAATGCAGAGATTTAACATGCGTGCAATTAAAACCAAAGAAAAACAAGCAACAATATACAAAATAGCTATATCATGGTACATATATACTTAAAAATTACAGGTCTATAGATACTTCTTTTTATCTGCGTATAACTAATATGGGCGCACACACACACACAAAAGGAAACGATATACTTTAATCCCACATAAAAGTAGCACTCATGCCATCACTGCGGATTTCGTAAAGTGCTCTGAAGTGTAAAAAGTGAGAAAATCTAAAATTATGTGACGAAGAAAAGCAATCTGCTTAAAACCTCCTCCCGTGTGTGTGTGTCTCCTTTTTTTCAGCTATGATCCATCAGCGAGTGGTCTGGGGTTAGATCAACAGCATATCACAGGCGTGCATGCTGCTGCAGACAGTCGTGTGCAGAGGTGAGGAGGAAGATGAGCCCCAGAAAAAAGTGAGGTTTCATCAGCTCTGCAGTGAGATACGGCAAACTGAAGGTGAAACGTAACTAGAACGCGTCTGTGTGCGTGCGGACTGATACAGACATGCAGTGTCTGCTGAAGTATTGATATCCTTTGCACTTTTTCACATCTTCGGTTTGCAAAAAGTGCATCACTGCGACGCATTTTGCAGCATTTCTTTCAGGTCAGTTCAAAATTGTAAGGTGGAAGGAGGATGATGCATGAATTTGCGTTTAAACAGAAAAAACTTAGGTGTGTATATGATTTCAACCCCTTTTACTCAGATACCCTTTAATTAACATCCTCTGCAACCACAACGGCAAACTTTACCCACAGACGGCCGTCGGCCATAACCGACAGGAAATGAAACCAGATCAGCTGTGGAACAGTCTGCCAGCAGGACAAGAGTTAGGTGTGAACTCCTCAGATCCGGCAGGCAGGAGGCCAAAGAGTTACTATGGATTAATTCTGAAACAAAGTAAAGCAAAAACTATTTGTACAGTCGTATGCAAAGAACTGAGGAAAAACTTCATGTTGGGGATGCTTTTCATCAGCGGATCAGAGAAACTGGTCAGGTTTAATAGGAAATAATTACAGAGCGCTACTGGAGGAAAGCCAATTACATCCATTGACAGGACAAAACCAGACCTACCAAAACCAGACCTACCAAAACCAGACCTACCAGCAGAGGAACCGTTACCAGAGGAACTGTTACCAGAGGAACAGTTACCAAGGAACTGATTGGATCAAAGCCCAGCAGTAAGCTGGACTAACTCAGACCTAAAGAGAACTTTCAGATTAATCTCTCCAATCTAATTTGAGTTGTTTTCTGAGTGAAAGGGTGCTGAATGTAAAATACACACTTTTTATAGATTTCGACGCATTAAAAATGCTAATTGTCTACCTTTACACAAACGAGTATGAGGCTGTAATGTAACAAAGCAATTTAAGGGATACTAAATCTTTAGCCACCCTGCTCCGTTTTGGGATGAAAAAAGCCTTAATCTCAAGATTCTGCATAATGTTGACGGCCTCTTTCCACCTGATACAGATTTTATTAAATTTTTTTAAGTACTAAATGACTGCTGGTGTGAAGAAACAATTCATTAAAATGTTAAGCTGCTCCACAGCATTTTAGGATGAATAACTTCAAATACTGAGGTAGGGTGAATCCAAGGTGCTCCAGCAGGATGAAGGAACACCAGCTCTGCAGCCATGAGGACTTAGAGGGATAAACTGAGACCAAGATGGCTACTAATGGAATGACTCAGCTACCTGCAGTGTTACAGATTCAGTAGCTTGAGCAAATTGTTCTTATGTGTCAATGGTACATTTTTGAAGCTGGTAACAATTTCCTAAAAACCTTTAAATTATTTTATTTTTTTATGAGAGCAAAAAATAAAGAACCGAGACCAAAGAAAAGACAGGATGCAGCTGCAGTTTGAACAGATGATGGAGGAACGTGGAAGTGGGTGGGAGAGGAGGAAGACTGTAGGCTGGGGTCCTCGGAGGGGGGAGGGGGAGGTGTTAAAGCGGCAAGGTTTCATCAGAGTCCAGCACGACTGCGTCAGACGACACGTAGCCTCATTCCACTGCAAAGCCGCACGTCTCCTCGATCGCCGTCAGTAGCTTGTCGTACAGTTTGTCGTAGCTCTCGTAGGGAGGAATGTCGATCCGGTTGAAGCTGAAGAACAAAGAAAAAATAAACAGCATGAATACCTGAAACACTAATCTGGTTCACAGCCAAACGTTTACCTGAACAAGAAGAACGCTGACCTTTACGTTTAAATGAAAAAAACTAATAATGTGCAAAGACAAATGGAAAGAAAACTAAACAAAATGTCTTTTTTAACCATAAAAGAAAAGTTTTCTCCTCTAAAGACTCGATGTGGGCCTCACCAGGTGTGAGCTTTGGGCAGGTTATTGGTGTTGGCATCAATCTGATGAATGGTGAAGAGTCTGGGTCCTGCTGCACCTGCAATAAAAACAAACCAGACTCAGTTTAAGGCCACAGTTAGCGATTATTTTAAAGCTTTCTTTTAGAAAAAAACCATCATGGCTGTCCACACAATTAGCTGAGTCTGAGAGATTGCTGCAACGTCATTGGCCGAAGACAGTCGGCATCAACTTTTACCAACTGGCGCTGTACCATCAGCACATTTGGATATAATTTAAACATATCATGAGTGAAGAAAGCAAAAGTATAAAATTGAATATGCAAATGTGAATTTCTCCATAAAATAAATACATGTTCCATGAAATAAGAAGATGTGACATTTATCCAAAACATTATTCAAACATTTAAATACACCATTAAATCATGAAATGCACCATTAAATAATACGCTGCACCATTAAGTACTTATTCTTATTTTAATTCATGAAACAATTTAATCTGATTTTATAAAATAAACATATTTAAGAATGATTACAAATTAAATAGAAAATCCCTTTATTGTCCCCAACAGTAAAAACATACAACATGTCAGCAGCGTGTTATTTAAAGTGAACTAACAGGCACTTTTTGGGAGAAGTGATGGTTACATGTATACTTTATTCCAGGGGTGAACAATTAGAAATCAGCGGGGTACGAATAAAGAAAATCATCAAGGTCCGCAGACATTTTTAATAATCTGTTACTTTAAACAGAATTTAATACTGAATAAAATGCGGTTTTTATACATCCATTGACTTTTAAAGAAAATAAAATATGAAAAAATAAAAAAGAAAATTTTTCCATTTTAAAATCTGAAGTGTTTTTTAAAGTAGAGAACAACAAGCGTTCAGTTTGGTATATAGACAATTTCCTGACTCTCATATTTTAATAAAAAACCTGAACTGACCATTTGCTATTTTCCTTTCTTTTTTCTGTCTTAATGAGAGCAGTGGGCTTTAGGCTGCCCTGCAAGGCTTTAAACCTGGGTTTGAATGGAGACTAAGCCATTCTAAAGCCATTCCAGGCTCATTGGTGAGCTCATATATTCCCCAAAACTAAGACTGTTTGTTTAAATGATTGGATGCAAACTATTGGTACTTCAACATACCAGGAAGCAGATTTCTCATCTTGATCAAAATATTTATTTTATACTAGTCTAAGAGGCTTAAAAGTTTCTAAAATCCTGTCAAAATTTCTAAGAGCACATCTCATTACTTCAAAAGAAACCTCTCATCTCAGGCCTGGATGAAGAGATGCTGAGTTTGGAAGCAGAGAACAAACATAGTTCATATAAACCATGGATGATCCTAGTTATCCCTGTTACAAAAATCCACAACAAAAAGAAAATATTTGGGCAGAAAGTGAACATATGCTGGCTGGATGATGGTGGGGAGTTTTTTTAATATGTCATATTAATTCAAGGGTTCATTTTCGCATGTTTTGCTCTTGAATTAATACTAATATCGCGCATGCTCTCCTTGAGCTCCGAGGAAGTCGGAGGGGAGCAACACGGGAAAAACAGCGGAGGCTGTAGGGTTTGATTTGCGCAGGAGGTCTGGAGCTCAGCAGAGCGGAGTCGGAGGATTTGGGATTGTAATAATCCTGCAATAAATTAAGAAAATAGAGTATAGCAGCGTTTAACAAACAGACAACTAACAGCATCCTCAGCGTGACCAATGATTCCAAAAACAACTGCTGATTGGGATTTTGTCCAGTTTTTTTTAAACTTCCTTTTCAAGCAAATTCCATTTAGTTGATATTTAAAATTTGTTGAGAGTAAGAAGGACATTTAAAACAAATCCCAATTTCCCAGGTGTAAACAAGTACATCCAAAAACTGGATTCAAAAACAGTTTGAGTTTTTTTCTTAAATTAAAGAAAAATAAGAATTTCCTAATATAGGCCTATTTTACCTTCATTTAAGCACATAATTAAAATGATCTGATAATTGTATGAAAAGTTTTTCCTCTAAAATAAGATAATTAGGTCATATCCTCTTACATCCGCATTGGCAAACGGTTTAACTTACCTGATCAAACAGAATGAAAATACCGTTATTTCAATAAAAATGTACTTACTTATATTGACATTTTAGTGGCTTTAAATTAAGCAAATCCTTTCAATCTGTGTAGAGAGGAGGGCCTTATGTTCTTTTTTATTAATCATTTATTCATTAACATTTCTTCAGGCTGTAACCTCATTCTTATTTTTTGTCCCTCAGGAAGTGATTAGTTAGTCAGGAAAGATGATATCCATTATTTTCATAATTTCTGTGTGGATATTTAGTTTTTTTATTTAGTTTTTTTTACTTTATTCTAACAAAAGTTCAACATATGACTACTTTTTTTAAATGTCCAACATACATTTTTTGTTACTTTCTGGCTATTGAGGTCAAAATATTGACCTCAATAACACATTACTGAAGTCGGTTTCCCATTTGCTAGCATAGTAAAAAACGGATTTTCACACCTTTTACAAGATCTTACATCATAGCTCTGTAGAATTCTATAGAACTTAGATTTATAAAGTTTGGACTAAACTGTTCAACACAACAAACATATTCTTTAAAGCGGAGGCTGCCGTCTATCACCCTTTGACTCTTTGTTATAATGATAAAAAAAATGTTTAAATGCGTTAAAGCAGAAGCTTAATTGACATCTTGAATCTCAGGGAACCTAAAAGAGGAAATGATGGTTATGTCAGTCACTCAAAACCAAAATAAACTATGAAAGTCAAAAATAAAACAAGCAGCATTTTTCCATATCTATGCAAACATGGAAGCTTATTCATTTCAATCTTTCAGTCTGTTTTGAAACCTGTTAAACAATCAAAGAACATTTTTCTTTGTAGGATGAAATAATTCAAGACCAGAGTTTAAAATTCAGTCTAAAGCAACAGCAGCTAGATAGGAGCAACATCTGGACATCAGCTCTCTAAAGTAATCGGATAAAAAGAGGCGAGTGACATTAAGTACCCTGTAAAGCCTTGAAGCCTTGCAGTGGGACTCTGGATGAGCCAGTAACAAACTGCAGGAGCCGGGCCCTCCGCTCCTCATCAAACGACTCCACAGCCTTCCAAAACCACTTGACAATGTTGCTGTCTAGGGTGCAGTGCTTCAGACGAGTGTTGGACCTCCAGTCGTTGATGTCGATCTTTCCCAGGCCGCACACGATCAGCTGAAAGCGCAAACATTTCATTCCAACTTTAAATCCCGTTTCTTTAGAACATTAAAAACAGAGCGGAAGACGGAGAGCGAATGAGATGCACGGCCGGTTTCTAGGATGGTTTCTGATGCCGGTTTACCTCTAACTCCTTCTCGTCGAAGGCTTTGAGCAGGTGCTGTGGGATGACTTCGTTGAAGCCCTTCTGGAGGGCCAGAAACTGAGCTTCGATACCATGAAGGAAACGCCAGTTTACATAAAGTCTGCAAGGAGGTCAAGAAGGTCAGCAAGATAAAACATCACAGGAGGAGAAACAGCAGTGAGGAGGTGGAGCTGCTGTGGGGCTCTGCTATCATTGTCTAAGTCCAGTCCCGTACCTGACATACTCCTTCTTGGTCTCTTCTGTCACTGGGATGCTCTTCCCATTGGGCTTCAGCTCGTGTGGGATGATTTCCCCATAGGCATTATGTTCCACACAGAAGGTGTGGTCCAGGACGCCTGTGATGTCATTATCCCTGAGGAGAAGGATTAGACACTCCTTTAATACTCAAAGCGTTTACTGACAAACCTGTCCAACGTTTTGCTCATGAAGCCGTTTTTCACTCTCCAGCAAAAACCTGTCCTGATGTTTGCCTGCAGGTTTTACTGGACCTGATCTGGTCACGACGTCACTCAACACCAATAAAAAGCTACAGGTTCATGTCCACAAAGGGTAACTCCATTTAAAGAGCTCTTCTAATGAAAAACCCATTTTGAACATGATGATAACCGATGATAAAAACTGGGTTCATCCAATAAAGTAGAAGAAGTAGAAGGAGTTACCATTATTCCTGACTTTAATGCTATGTGGCTGTTATGTAAACTTTTATACATATTTGCCATTACTTTGTTGTAAACATTGTTCAGCTGGTGCCAGAGCATGTGAGCGGTGCGGAGCATGGAGCGAGCAGCAGAGCGGTTTTCAATTCAAAGGCTGGAGCAAGGATTTGGCTCCGCTTCAGTTCGCTCCTATGCGCCCACAAAATAAATAATAAAATAAATGAATAGTTAAATAGGAANTATCAAGCTTGCTTAATACTGTGCACAGCATACAACCTCAAAATGTTGTTCTTATTGTTTATTGTATTTATTTATTTATTGTATTTTAATTATTAATCAAAATATTTCTGTTGAAATTTGGAGTTTTTATCCTAGCGGTATCGAAAATGGTATCGAGTATCGAATATTTTCCTTAGTATCGGTATCGAATTGAAAAGTTTAGTATCGTGACAACCCTACATATTTGCCATTACTTTGTTGTAAACATTGTTCAGCTGGTGCCAGAGCATGTGAGCGATGCGGAGCATGGAGCGAGCAGCGGAAGAAATATGGTGAAGCGTAGAGCGGTTTTCAATTCAAAGGCCGGAGCAAGGATTTGGCTCCGCTTCAGTTCGCTCCTATGCGCCCACAAAATAAATAATAAAATAAATGAATAGTTAAATAGGAAACATGGGGCAACATGAATGGAGCGAGGTGTTACGTTCACAGCTGGGAAACAGTGTGATAATGTAACAGCCAGTTAAACATATTCTTTAAAGCACGTCATTAAATCAAACGCCGTGTGTCCCAGGGCGCTGGCATCATTACATGAAGGAAATACCCGCTCCTGAAAATTTGAGCAAGCGTGGAGCGATTTCAGCAGAGCGGCAGGAAAATTAGGGTGAGCGCAGAGCAAATTTTGAGCGGAGCGTCCTGGCGAACATCCTCCTGCGTGGGAAGGGCGCGGCGCCCCGCTCCGTTCACATGGTCTGGCTGGTGCTTTCATTTAGTTGTTTTGTACAATTGGTTTGAAAAAAATGTAATGTATTAAATGAATTTTAAGTAGAAAATAAAGGTGAAATTCTAAAAATAAATACTTTATTTGTGAATTTCCATGGTTGTTGATGCCAACTGTACCATCATAAAATTCAGTATTTCATAAAGCAGGGTTCTGTGTTTGTCTCCTTCCTGTTCCACCTCAAATGGATGCTTGATGAGGGTCGACAGACACTGAACATAGCTGCAACTAACCAGCAATGAGCTCTTTCAGCCTAAAGTTTTGAAAAACGGCAAACCAAAATCATATAAATGTACTTAAATAAACATGCATTTATAGGAACTCTTTCATGAACAATCATCATTATGGAGAATGAAAAGTGGAAAATTAAAACTGCAAAATAAAGCAAAGCATGTTTGGCTTCTGTGATTGTGAAATTATTTATTCGTACTAATGATTTTCATCTTTATCTTGATAATGAATTAATGAAACCGATATTTGGGAACATGGTTTTAATATCTTTGTAACTTTAACTGTAATTTAGCACAATTTGAACATTTTTGCAGATTAAAACAAATAATGCCTTTGTTTGCCTTTGACAGTGCTTAGTATTTTTTATTACTTATATTATTTAACTTTTTTCTTTTTTGTATGCTGTGTATTGTGTCAGTCAGTCTTTGATCTTACATGATGGTTAAAGGGGATTTATGATTACATGACATGAAAACCGTCTTTCCTAATCTGAGCCACCTATAGGGCTA